AATATTTCTCTTTCTTTCATTTTCATCTTTGCCTTACATAGCTTTCTAAAGATTTTCTATGCATTATCTCCGATTAATTATAACTCTTCAAAATTGGACATAAAAATAGGATTTTTTTTTTCTCTTTTGCATTGAATAAATATCTCATATATTACACAAATATTTATAAATATAAAAATATATTAAAAGTATTTAATGAGAATTTATAGAATTACTTTATTATCAATAAAAATAAATTATAATATAAAAATGAAGAAACTGAAGATTTTCAATATTAAAAATACAAAGAAGATTATTTAATTGATAATAAATATTTTCGAATATCTCAAAATATTTAATATTAATTAAAATAAACAAGTTAAGTATTTTATTATATTATTAAATAAATAATTAAAGAAGAATAAATATTAAATTTATCTAAATATTTAGTATAGAAAAGGATATTCTTTGATGATTAAACACAACTTATGTAGAATGGTGTTTTATTAACACTTGTGACTCCATTTTCGAATTCATATGTTCTATTTTCTCTTTGTTTTTCCTTTTCACACTAACGAACGCGTTTTGTGCTCTCATTCTTCCTCCATTATTGCTTGCTCCCAAGTTTGTTTTGCAATCACATAATCTGGTTTTTAGTTCGTTTTGATGGTATATTTTGTTGTTTGGTTGAATTTCTTTTTGTTGTTTATTGTGACATTTTTGGCTTGTTTTCATATATATTTTTTTTGGTTTGATTATTGTTAGTTAGGTGTTATTTGCATAGATAGACACAAATGAACGATTTGTTAGAATACCTCTTATAAAAGCTTGGTTTAAAAGCCCTCAAAACTTGGTCTTTGTCTTGGTTAAGTGACATTGCATAATTAATATTTGGTTAGTTTAGTAATATTGCTTAATTAAATTTGGCTTAGTTAGTGACATTGGTTAATTACGTTTAACTTAGTTTAGTGAGATTTCATAGTAAAATTCTGCTTGTTTAATGATATCGTCGTAATTTAAAATTGCAACTAAGTTAGACAATATTAACTTAGCTAAATTAATTAAGTAATGTTTGAATTTTAATTTTTTTTTATAAATTCTCTATTTAAATAAAGTATTTTACTTCAAAGACTTTGAATTTTTTTAAATAAATAAATTACTTCATTTAAATTCTCCATCCAAATATATTCTAAAGGTTAAAATATTTTTTTTAATCTCTATAGTTTTACTTTTTTTTTAGTCTCTATAGTTTAAAATAAATATTTTTAATCTTTATATTTATTTTTTTAACTTTTTAGTATATATAGTTTAAGATAAATCTTTTTAATTCATATACTTATAATTTTTTAATCTCTATCATTATTTTTTGTTTGTAATATTATATGTTTTATAATGACAAGATAGAGGTCTTCGATTTTATAAAAGTAAAAAAAAATAGTATTTCAACAACCAACATCACAAAAGCATATACAAAAGAGACATGAAATGTTGCAAAATTTAATTTAGGATAATTCTAATAAAATACATTTGATATCAAAAATTGAATTAATATTTATATTACATCTATATGAAAGAGACAACGTCGTTAAAAAATTAATAACAAGTACTGAAATGATTAAAAAACTACATAGAAACTAAAAAAATTTATTTTAAACTATAGAGATTAAAAAATATTTTAAAAAATAAATATAATGACTAAAAAGTAAAAAAAGAATTAACTATAAAAATCAAAATAAAAATAAGCAAAATTATATAGACTAAGAAAGTATTTAAACATTAATTAAAATAACATTTTGACACCATATTTTAGCAGCTATAATTTCATTAAAAAATCTAACATGAGAAAATTTTTACAAATTAACTTATATATAAATTATTTTTTAAATTTTAAAAAATCTTTTTGTTTTTATTTTTTTTCCTAAAACTATTTTTAAGTTAATCAAAATATACTACCGATCCATCTTTACCCACCAACAAAATTTTTATACCAACAACTTTCTTAAGGTAGGACTTTGCTCTTTATCGATCGAACTAGCATTTATTAGTATTTACTACTCCCTCCGTTTTTTTTCGTAGTCGTTTAAGGTTTTGCACGGGATTTAAGAAAATCATTAATATTTTAGTTTTCAAAAATATTTATTACTTACTTTTCTATTTTACCCTTTATTTTTTTTTTGCATTTTTTTAGACTGTTGAACTACTCCATTAAATAGTTGTCCATTTTTTTATTTTTTTATAGTATTTTGTTGGAAACATATTGCTCTTATAAATGCACATTAACTTTATATGAGTAATTGGAGAAAAATTAGGTAAACATTAAAAATAAATACACACATTGTTCAGGAAACATGTATTAATTATCAAGGGTAAAAATGGAAGAAAAAAATTAATAATTCATTGATTTTAGTAATATGACAATGAAAAAAAAACAACAAACTCTGACAAAACGACTATAAAAAAAAAATGGAAGGAGTAATAATAATCTCACCTAACAAGAATATAATTATTTTTCCTTAAAAGAAAAATAGGACATTCTAAATCAGCAAGAAATCCAAGTCAAGAAGAAGAAAAAGTAAAATGATACTCCTTCCGTTTTTTTTTCGTAGTCGTTTTGTCAGAGTTTGTTGTTTTTTTTCATTGTCGTTTTACTAAAATCAATGAGTTATTAATTTTTTTCTTCTATTTTTACCCTTGATAATTAATACATGTTTCATGAATAATGTGTGTATTTATTTTTAATGTCTACCTATTTTTTCTCCAACTACCCATATAAAGTTAATGTGCATTTATAAGAGCAATATATTCTCAACAAAATACTATAAAAAAAGTAAAGGGTAAAATAGGAAAGTAAATAATAAATATTTTTGAAAATTAAAATATCAATAATTTCCTTAAGTCTCGTGCAAAACCTTAAACGACTATGAAAAAAAACGAAGAAAATATATAATAATATTAGAGCATCTACAATAAAAGTTACTTATAAACATCTTTTAGTACCATATTATGTTATATTAAATTTGTAAGTTGCTTTAGCAAAGGTACTTGTCCAAGATGTTATTAGAGATTCTTACCAAATGGGTAGTGTGGGACAGTTCACAGTTACCGCAGTTTCAGTTTCCACGTAGCATGGGCCTCGTTTGCGCAACATTTAAAGACTGGGCCCACTTTTAAAGGGGTGTTTGGTTATAATGGTTATCATATAGGGAATAGGATACCATTCTATTCTGAACGCTCTTTTGTTTGTTCCAATTCAGATTATTAATTTTGATTTGACTTCATGCAGTGTAAAAGACAACTTCTACTTCTACACCCATCCTTTGTAAATGTAGTTACTACTTACAACCAATCATTTTAGCCTAAAACAAATAGTTTTCTTTTTAGTACAAAATAATTTGCTTTTGTAATGGAGAATCCGATGTGTGATTTATGTAATGCAATTTATTTTGATTTTACTTGACGAGACAAAGTTTTTTGTTGTTGTTGTACAAAATAATTTCATTTTGGTATAAAACTAAATAATGATATACTTTATTTTTTAAAATTTAAATTGGAAATAATGTTAGCCATAAATTTTACTGTTTTAAACAAATTTAATAACTTTTATTGTGCATAAACATTAATATTTTTCTTATAATATGAAATATATTTAAATTTTTAATCATCTATTCTTCTATTTTATTAAATACAAAAATAGATAACATTATAGGTCAATTATGAATTTATGATTCAGTATTTTAAAGTGGCAGGCTTGTGAGTTGTGACTTTTTATTCTTCTAGGACTCTTACAAATGTTTTACATAAATAAAATTGTTTTGAAACATGTTACACCTTTGAAATTGTTTTAAATAGTATCGTTGTGAGTTACATAATATTAGTAACATTTGTTAATTTTTTTTAGTCAACAAAAGTTGTTGTGAACTACAACGACTTTAGTTAAAGTCCACATATATTGTTATGAGCTACAACGCCTTTTTAAATTTTTATTATTTTTCTTTTTATTTTTAAGGAGATCTCTGTGAATTACAACATCTCCCATTAATTTATTTTTTGGGTTGTTATGGGCTATGTCCTTCTTCTTCTTTTTTTTACGAGGATTATTGTGAACTATAACACCCCTTTAATATTTTTAGGGGGTTGTTGTGGACTACAATAACTCTAGTTTGGTTTTTTTTTTTCACCATACATTCTATCAATTAAAATGTATCACATGATATTAATGTTTTAAAAAAAAATTTGGGAGTCATTGTTGGCTACATTGACCTTAGTTAACTTTTTTTTTTTTTTTGTCACATTTTGTCAATCAGGGCCACAACTCCAAATAATAAAAAAATAATTGTTTACCCTTTTATAAAAAGCATTTCACCCTGTAGTTGGTTTCTCTTTTAAAAACTATTCTAAAAAAATTTAAAATATAAAATATAAAAAAGTGTGTAGTTATGAGTTATGACCCACAACGATAAAAAAAAAAATAGTATATGTGCAATCCACAATAACAAACAAACATTAAAAAAAAAGATAATAAAATAAAAAAAATGTAATTGTGGTCTACAATGACACAAACACAAAAAAAAATAGTGTAACTATGGCTCACAACTACACACAATTTTTTTTTTTTATGAATGTAGTTGTGATCCATAACGACACAATATATATATATATATA